AGGGAAGGACCCCTCCCAAGGGCTCCACCTCGTGTGCGTTCACCCCCGGATCCGCTCCTGACGGCCTCGCGAGGCCCGGACACGGCCCCCCCGGAGGCCGGACGCCGCGTCGAGAAGACCGGAGCCTGGAACCTGCCCCCGGCCACCTGCTGGTCGGAGCCAGTGCTGGGCCACCTCAGACCCCTCAGCCGGCTCCGGAGGGAGGGGGGGGGGCGCCCCTATGAAGGGGCCCTGGGACACACAAAAGAAGACATGCAAGTGATACGGGAGAAAAGCCCGAATCAGAATCATAATAGGGCTGTGGGGCTATAGGGCTATATGGGCTATTATATGGCTATTGGGCTAAAGGGTAATAGAGCTACAGGGCTATATGGCTGTAGGGCTATAGAGTATGTAGGGGTATAGGGCTATAGAGCTATAAGGCTATACGGCTGTAGGGCTATTGAGCTATAGGGATATAGGGCTATAGAGGTATAGAGCTGTAGGGCTATAGGGCCCCTCGGGCACCCGGTCACCCCCGGGCACCCGAGCACCCAGGCACCAGGGCGTGCGGCGAAAATCGGCGGCAAACCTAACCTGACCCGATGAATCCGCTAGGACCCCTACAGAGGCAAGCTCTGATATGAATAACAGTACTCCCCATATTTTCCCATAGAAAGTTTTTGTCTTCCCCCCCACCTCCCATATTCTCTCGCATTTCCTGCGGAATAGACGATGAATTTTGTCTCTGTGTCTTTTCCTCCTGACCCTCCAGGAGCCTGGCTTCCCATCATGGGCGCCGACTTTCGCGGGGCCCCCGGGCCCCGGGAGCCGCCTCCCCGAGCCCGCAGGCATGCGGAGAGCTCCCCGCACGCGGCCACCGCCGAGGAGCCGAGAGGGTCTCCGGGCCCTCCTCCGCCAGAGTGACGCCCCCAGACCACCCCAACTTAACCCGAAGACCCGAATCTGACCCGAATTTCGGGTTGGGAGGGGTACGGGTTCCATGTGTTTTTTCAATGCTCCCCGACTCCCCCCCCCCTTGAAATGGAGGGCAAATTGAGGCCTGCGGGTTGGGTTGGGGTGGTTTGGTGGGTGGTTGACCCCCGTCTTTGCTCTTGGGTTTGGGTTTCCCAATTCCGGCGCCGCTTGCTCTGTTCTGGCTCCGCCGTCGTATTTTGTTATCTGGTTCCGGCTCCAGTCCAAGCACTGTTTTGGTTATTCCTTTCGGCTAACCGTCTGTCGCTGCCTTATGAGTAGAAGCCGTCACTAGGGGCCCTGCCGTTTCCAAGAACCTCCGAGCTCCCTCACCCTTGGGGCGGCTCGCTAGACCGACGTAGATCGACTCTCGGGCGCACGCCAACATGGACTACGGACCCCTGGGATCTGGCGCGCGCGTGGGTGCCAAATCCCAGGACGGCGTGGGGAGGCACCCCCCGGAACGTGGCGCCAGGGCCGCCCGGCCTGGCCATGGAGCGCGCCGAGTCTGCGCGGGTCCGGGACCCGCTGCAGATCCGCGCTCCTCGCTCCGTCTTGGCACTGCCTCGAAGCTCCGCGCCCCGCGGTGCGCGACGCGCGGAGCTATACTGGAGGGGGGGGCCCAGGGGCACGCAAGCAAAGACACACCACTCCCGAGACCCCCTAGAAGTTCCCAGTGTATGCTCGTCTTCCCCCCCCTTTCCCATATGCTCCCTTCTTTCTCCAGGGAGTAGACGATTACTTTTAGGTCGGGCATGTCCCCCTACAGGCGGATTTTGGACGGAAGATTAAAGGTACCCCAGAAGTACTCCCCAAATGCCAACAAATACATCGGCCCAATGAAAGTTCTTGGAATTTTCATCACGACGGCCGGCGGAAGTCGACGGAAGTAAAACGAGGCGGGAGACGGGGGAAGGCCGCTGGAAGGCTTGCCAATGTCAGCGGAATTAAACGACGCCCCTTCCGAACCCCCTACCCCCCGTAGAAGCCTAGCAACGTTGTCTTCCTCCGTGGGCCGGGCGGGATCCCGCCTGGCTTATTCCGCTTTAGTAGTACAAGTTGAGTTCAGGACGATCAAAATCCCACCCATTCAAAATGGGGTAGACCAAACTCCCCGGCCGTTCACGGATCCCACCATGCTGGGATCGGCTCGAAGTAGGATGGGGCTCAGAAGTTGCAGTATTATTGCCGTGTTGGGGTCGTCTTGAGGTCATCTTGAGATCATATCCCGGTCATGTTTGGATCACGCAACCATCGCGTGGTCATTATGAGGCCACCCTGGGTGCGCTTGGATCCATCTTGTTGCCATCGGGCCATCTCGGCGTCACGCGTTGCTCATGTGTTTCGTCATCTGCGAGTCGGCCTGAGACGGTCCAGAATCCATGGCGGGATCGCGTTGGGGTGGCATCATCCTGGGTCCTCTGGACGTTATCGTCCGTGGCCTGAGGCATTCCTGGAAGCATGTTGTGGCCATGGGACGTCTTGAAATCGCGTGCGTGCGAACGCTGAGCACGCGCGCGCGACTTTTCATCTTGCCGACGGGTTTACATACATTTTATTCCTCTTGCGAGTTTCCAAGGAAACTTTTGTTGGAGCCAAGTAATCAACAAATCTTCCCCTTACTATTTTTGACTATTTTTTGATATTCCTCCTGTAGAGGGACACGCCCGACTCAAGATTACTTGCGCCTCGTGTGCGTCTTCCCCTCCGGAGCCACCTTCGCTCCCCCGCGCCGCCGGTCCCCGGAGAAGCTGGGGCGGGCTCTCCGGGCAGGGCCGCAGTGGCGCAAGGCGAGGCGTGCGCCCGTGCGCCCGTGCGCGCGCGTGGCGGGCCTGAGAGGCTCGCCACCGTGCCCTCCGCACGCGGTGGAGAGGCCTGCTCCTCCTTCCCACTCCCCCTCCCTCTCCTCCTCCTCCTCCTCCTTCTCCTCCTCCTCCTCCTCCTCTTCCTCCTCCTCCTCCTCCTCCTCCTCCTCCCTCCTCCCTCCTCCTCCTCCCTCCTCCTCCTCCTCCTCCTCCTCCTCCTCCTCCTCCTCCTCGCTCCTCCTCCTCCTCCTCCTCCTCCTCCTCCTCGTGCTCCTCCTCCTCCTCCTCCTCCTTCTTCCTTTCCCCTCCTCCTTTCGTCCCTCTCCTCTTCCTTCCTGTTCCTCCTCTCCTTCCTTCGCTTTCCCTAAGGCCTAAAATCAAACAACAGGATGCCTGTCTGCTAAGATCATCCCTGCAAGGCTCATCTCACAAACGGCGAACATGTGTATCCGCGCCCTCATGATCTGGATGCCGGGGCGGTCCTGGGGATACGCGGTCGTACGGGTACGTTCCAAGGGGGGCATCCCCGAAAAAACGCCCCGAATATGCGGGTCGCGGCCGATGGGGCCCAGCCCGCGAGGCCGCGGATACGTATATGGTTCCGCCCGCGAATTTCCTGGGCGCATTCCGAGGGTGCGTCGCGTGAGCTCTCTCTGGACGCTGAGCCAGCCCAACCTTACCCTAGAACCCCAAGAAGGGCCCCAGAAGGTCCCACAGACGACGGTCCATCATGAGCGCCCCGAGACCCCCCTCAGACACCCAAAATAGCTTCAAGGCAGCTTCAAGACGCCCAAGATACCACCATGACGCCCAAGAGGGCTCCGAGAGACCCCCCCGGAGGGCTCCAAGAGGGACAAAAACAGAGAAACTCCTTACGTTTTGAAAGACTTTGGCTGTCTCGCCTTTCCGGACTTCCGACGTGCTCCAAGAAGGCCCAAGAGAGCCCCACGAGGCCCCCAACGCGGCCCAGGGCCCCAAGATGGGACTGACATTTCGAGCCCTCTTCTCCAGGATGACCCCCGAGACTGCCCGCAGGCCTGCCTACAAGAGGCACAGAAGAGGCACCAGGAGGCCCCAAAAGGCACAAAGGAAGCCCCAAGAGGCACAAAAGAAGCCCCGAGAGGCCCCCGTGAGGCCCCCGAGAGGCCCCCAAACACTCCAAAACTGCCGCCAAGAGGCTTCCCAGAGGCCTCCCAAGATATCCCAAGAGATCCCAACGGGCATCCAGAAGGACCCAGGCGCGGTGGCGGGATGGGCCGAAGGCCAGCAGACGGAGGAACGACCAAACACTGCATAAACGCACGCTCTCGGAGGTCAGTGCGGACTTCTTCCATGGGCGCTGGGCCCCCCTCCCCCTGGCGTTCAGTCGGGCCTGTCCCCCTACGGGGGGATTTTGGGCGAAAAATGAGAAACAAATGCTTCAAAAATATTCAAAAATACGTCCCCTGACTATTTTTTGCTTATGTTTGAACACTCCTTATGTAGAGGGACAGGCCCGACTTCCCCCTGGTGCGCGAAGCGCACCCTGCAGGGGCGGCGCTGGCGGCGCCCGAACGGGGGTTCACAGCGCAGGGCCCGGGCACTCCGCGCGGGCCCCCGACGCACGCGAGCACCATCCCACGCTCTCGAGACACGAGCTCGCCGAAGCCCATGCGGACTGCTGGTTTCGCAGCGAGGTGGGTCACGCCGCGTTCGGCGCAAGGAAGCATATCATCGAATCGATAAGTCAGGTCGGCGATCGAAATGGGTCGGACCGGCGTAAATCGGCCTGCTCCTGCATCTCCTCCTCCTACTAACTCCATCCTTCCAATTTCAAGCCTCCTCTCTTCTACTCCCCCCTCTTCTCCCCTCCCTTCTCCTTGTTTTCCTCCTTCTTATCCGGAGCATCCCACGATCCGTCATCATCCTCTTCTTCTTCTTATTCTCCTCCTCCTCCTCCTCTTCCTCTTCTCTGTCCCTCCTCCTCGTCTCCCCACTACATCATCATTGCGTCTTGCCTTCCAGCTTCAAGCGCCCTCCGTCAGGTTGCCCGTTGATATTCAGCTGTCGTTATCCTCCTTCTCCTCCTTCTGTTCACATCCCTCTTGCATCCTCCTTCTCCCCTTCTTCCTCCTCCTCTTTCCTCGAATCGATCCCACGCTCTTCCCCGGATCGACGTGGGTCCAGCCATCGCAGATAAAACAGCCACAAACTCACTGGACACACTTCTCTGCAGCAAGTGAGGCGAGGTAGAGTGGCAGCCTGAAGCAAACATGTTGGACGCCGGGAACACAGGTCGCACTAATACGTCCACCGTCGCCAAGGTGCCGTCGTTCCTTCCGTTGGAATCCTCCACGTACACGACACCCGTATAAAGGCCGCCTGAATCGCCGCATTCATATTTATCCGCTACCCGCTTCACCCCGTCAACGGCTTAATCGATGGAACGGCGCCAATCGAAACCCTCAACATTGAACGTCTCGAAATGAGCTGGCTGAATCGAGATGTTCGGTCATGAAACAAGGCAACGGCATATCGCACGTTTGTCGATGACCGCGTAAGAAGCAACACTGTAAGACCTTCTGATTAATGCCTGGTGAGGCACTGCTCACGTTGCATTGCGGCCCAGATATATCACTGAAGAAGAGAACAATGGCGGCCCTTACGTCGACATGTGTTCGAAGCTGTTTCACATGCAGACGGTTCTGCACTTCGCCCCTTGCAGGCTCATCGATATGCCCAAGCTTTGCAGTCAGGTGAACGCTCGCCCTCGCCAGATTTGCAAACCAATAGCAAGAAAATCACAACATCGATGCTATCCATCCGGGGCACACGCCAAGCAGGCCGGGGCGCTGTGCCCCGAGCTGGGCAAAAATCGCTGTGGCGGCATCAGTCCGGCGTGCGCGGGGAGAGCGAGAGCTCACACGGACAACGCTCCAGCGGACTGGTGCCAAGGCTGTCACTGCTAGACAGAACAGGAGACACACGCCAAGAGAGCCCACCTGGCTCAAGTCCACAGCCTTCCAGCGTAAGTGCCTTGGGGTGGACTTGCGGCCGCCGAGCGCAGACGAGAGGGCATCACAAGAAAGACACAACGATCAACAAACTTGCCACGCACGCAGGGCACCCAGAGGGACATCGCAAACACAGGATGCATCAACAATGCTGTACTACATCCACCCGTCCCAAATCTCCTTCCCATCAACATGTCAACAAGCAGAGCAACACATGCAAGATAAAAGGCGAGGAGTTTGGAAATGGGGTTCGCTAGGGTTGTAAGCCCACGAGATCAATATCACATGCATCGCCACGAAACCATCATGTGGGAAGCATGCTACCCACATCAAGCACACATAGGTAATGCAAATGCTGCGAGTGGGGGAGGGAAGGATGACGCGTGAGAGGGAAGAGGAAAGGGGAATGTAGGAGGACAGAGGAATGCAGAGTGGGACACACAGGGAGGAAGAGGAGGGAGGGGGGCGGACAAATTGCGATGGAGATCGAGCAAGCAATCTCGAGATGTCCATGGATGGGCTTTACCAAGCCAGACTCTGAGGGGCTGAGCCCTGCAAATCGAAGAAGGGGGGCCAACGCCTCGACTTTGGGGCTGTCGCGCTTTAGAGAACATCGAATACCTTCTAGCTGGCCCGGAAGGAAGTGTGACTACCTACCAGACCACCCCAACCCAACCCGAAGACCCAAATTTCGGGTTGGGGGGGGGTAAGGGTTCCACATGTGTTTTGTTCGATGTTTCCCGACCACCCCCCACTGGAAATCGAGGGTAAATCTGAGCCTTCGGGTTGGGTTGGGGTGGTTTGGTGGGTGGTGAAAGTGAGAGGAGGGAGGCAGGGAGAGGAGGGGCACACGGAGAGGAGGAACAAGGGGAAGACGGGCGGGAGGGGCGGTGACGGAGGAGGGAGGAGAAGAGGGGCGAGGAAGAGGGAGGGAAGGGAGGGGCGGGCGGAGACGGAGGAGGAGGAGGAAAGAGCTGGAGGAGAATGAGGAGAGATGGTGGGACGAGTAGGAGGAGCGTCAGGGTAATGAGGGAAAGCAGGAGCAGGAGGAGGAGGAGGAGGAGGAGGAGAGGGAGAGGGACGATGAGATAATGAGGGGGGAGGAGGGAGAATCGCCGGGGGGAGGGAGGGGTGGCAGGGGGCGCGCAAGGGTCTGGCAATATGTTTTCTGTAATGGAACAGAACAGACTCTCGGGGCCGACGCCAAAGCCCCGAAGGAGCGAACGCCAAGCGCTGGGAGATGGCGACGTGCCACCCGGGCGCGGCCCCCAGGCGAGCCGAGTCGTCCAGCGCGCCACCTGGCAAAGCTACCTGGCGACTCACTATTTTGTACTCGAGGTCCATCGAAAGAGCAGAAGGCGGTACACCAAACCGGCCACGAGGCACCCCAGAGCCCAATGGAACGCAGACGAAATACGCACACCAACACACACGGAGAAATAAAGACCCTCTAACATCCTCCGGACTCTTTTGCGTGGTTGACCTCTCGCCGCAGCGCTGGCGCCGCGACTCAACCGTGCGTTCTCCCTCGTTTGCTCGGCTCGCATAGGCGTATCAGTATCCACCGACGTCGAGGACAACAAATTGCTGCCTGAGGCGAAACTCATTAGTTTACTGATCAGGGCCCCCGAGAGCGGGTTGGTGGCCACAGGAGGGAAGAGAGGCGGGAAGTGGGATAGGGGAGAAATGGGGGAGAAATGGGGGAGGAGGGAGGGAGGGAGGGAGGGAGGGAGGGAGGGAGGGAGGGAGGAGGGAGGACGAGGCAGGAACTGGGAGGGGAGGAGGGAGCTGAGGCGGAGGGAGGAGAACGAGGCGCGACCTGCTCCGTGGAGTCGATGCTCGCGCTGTCGAGCTGGCAGGCGTACCCGCCGAGGGCGGATATGTCGCCGACCTGCGGGGGCGCGTGGCAGGGCAGCACGACGCGTCGCGGGTCGGGCGGGCTCCGTTGGCCCCAGCAAGCCTCCCTCCTACTCCGCCCCCCGCTTCTCCTCCTCCGCCCTCCTCCTGCCGCCCTCCCTCCTCCTCTTCCCCTCTCTCTTGTCCTCAACCTCGTCCGAGCACATTCGTTTTGATTGAGAATGTGCAAGGGTTCCAAGGATTGAAGGCAACCCGATTTCAAAATGTGGCTCTCGCCTTGGCGCCGCGCACATTCGTTTTTGAAATTTGCCAAAGCTCCACGGACTGAGGGCGGTTCCTTCTTCAAACTGTGGCTCTCGCCTTAGCACGTACCAGAAACAGTGTTTGCAAGGATTCAGGATTATGAGGGTACAGGCCTGGGAAAAATAGGCGAACACTCATGTCACATTCATCTGTGAACGCCTCCCCCTCCCCCCAATATTCAAAGTTGGTGATGGGTCTGATGAGTTGCACCTCGACCGCAGTCTCCCCCCGCGCGTGCCAACTTTGAGTTTGGGGGGCAGGGGGGGCTTCCCTCTACCGTACGACAAGTACGTTGATTCGCGGCGTTGAAATCAGAATAATGGCGTTCTGACACGCTTCCGGATCACCGAGACACAACAATCAGGTTGATCCGTGGCGTTGGAATCCCGAGAACAATGTTTTGGCATGCTTCAGGGTCTTCAAACGGTTGTCTTCCAACGAGGCAGTTCCCTATGGTTATGAACCGATGTAGGGGCCCATGAAGAGGAGGCTTGGAGCGAGGGTTTATTCCAACATCGTTGATGACCCTTCGGTTTATACTGGTCCTCATCCTACTCCTCCTCATCCTCTCTACCTCCCTCAAACTTATGTTTCCTCTTCATTACCCCCTCGTCAGCATCATCATCATCATCATCATCATCATCATCATCATCATCATCATCGTCATCATCATCAGCATCATCATCATCGTCATCACCGTCATCAGCATCATCATCATCGTCGTCAGCATCATCATTATCATTATGACCAGCATCGACAGAATCATCATCAGCCGCATCACCATCATCATCAGCAGCAGCATCATCATCAGCATCGCCATCACTAGCATCGTCATCAGCATCATCACCATCGTCATCAGCATCATCACCATCGTCACAATCATCACCACCATCATCATCATCGACATTGGCATCATCATCATCATAATCAACAGCATCATCATGATCACAATCATCATCATCATCACCATCACCATCAGCATCATCGGCAGCACCATCATCGTCGTCACCATCACCATCATCCACATCATCAGCACTAGCAGCATCAACATCATCAACAGACATCATGACCATCACCATCACCATCATGACCATCACCGTAACAGTCATCAGCAGCAGCATCAGAACCAGCATCATCAACATCATCATCATCAACCTCATCACCATCACACGCATCAACATCATCGTCATCGGCATCATCAGCGACAGCAGCATCATCACCACCACTACCTCATCCTCAGGATCATCAGCATCAGCATCAGCATCATCATATGAATCATCAGCAACATCGCCGTCGTCAACATCATCATCATGATCATCAGCTTCACCATCCTCATCCGCATCCTCATCCACATCCTTATCATCATCGGCATCCCTACCATCATGCTCATCATCACCATCAACATTAACATCATAATTATCATCAACATGCCCACCGTCAGCATCATCAGCAGCAGCAGCATCATCACCATCATCACCAGCACCATCGTCGTCAGCAGCAACAGCATCAGCAGCAGCATCAGCGTCATAATATCATCATCATGCTCACCAACACCATCACCATCACTGGCACCAGCATCAACACCAACCATCACCATTATCAAAAGCATAACCATCATCATCATCAACATCAACAACATCATCAGCATCAGCATCATCAGCACCATCGCAGCAATCAGCAGCACCATCACCAAAACCAGCATGGCCATCTTCACAACAATCATAAGCATCGTCATCCTCATTTATCATCAACAACATCGTCAACACCATCATAATCATACATCAACATCCGCAACATGACTATCTGTATGATCATCATCGGCAACATCATCGTCACCATGCTCAGCATCGCCATCATCATCATCGGCAACCGCAGCAGCATCATCACAATCACCACCACCACCACCTCATCAGCATCATCAGCAATTCCATCATCGTCGTCGCCGTCGTCATCGGCATCATCAATTTCATCAGCATCCGCGTCATCGGCATCATCAGCGACAGCAGCATCATCACCACCACTACCTCATCTTCAGGATCATCAGCATCAGCATCAGCATCATCATATGAATCATCAGCAACATCGCCG